CATTACCTATTAGAGTGAGGAGCCTGCTGAAAACCAGGGCCAAAGTCAACAAATTTAGCCTTACTTCATGCTTCCTGACCCGCAGCCCTCTCTTCCTGGGATCAAAGCCATTGTCTCAGTCCTAGTTCCTTCTCTTCACTTGGCAGTTGGCCCTAATTGCTTGATAGGTCCCAGCTGCTTTGATCTCCACTCCTCTTAACTCATTCCTCCCCAGTACTGCAGCAGTAACAGCACAATTGGGGAGGGTTTGTTATTCACACATCTGACAAAACTGGTTCCAAGTGCCTTTTTAATAAGCAGAAGATAAATAAATGTTGTGGCAAAAGAATCAGGAAAACTTCCAGAATATGTTAGTGTAATTGGACCCCTCTAAACTCTGAGAGGTCAAAATCTCTGAAAAGCAGCATTTTACATAAATCTGGATGGAGGGAGCATGCATTGGCTTAATCCAGCAGTCAGAAGTTTCTAGAGCAGCTATTTTCCCATCTTTTTCCCCAGACCCCCCAGCAATAATATTAATAGCAGATATGGCTTGCTAGCTCACTTCTTACTTCACTGTCCCTCTTCTGGCAATTGTGAAAGGGACACAGAGAGAGGCAAAAGGCAGGGAGAGGATTTTCTTGTTTGTGTTTTCATGTCTTAATGGGTAGTTTGAGATTCAGAGCAACATACACAGGCGAAAATCAAGAACAAATTACACACAGAAACTAACCTAGACTCTGGAACTAAGACGAGTTGCTGCAGTACGTGTCACGTGCAGAAGCAGAACATGATGCAAGTTACCTTCTAGCTGATTTGGATACACCAGCAGATTATTGTCCTCGGGATGAACAAGTCTATCACAGTCAACATTTCCTATTTCCTGCAGAACTCTGTGCTATACAGTCCTACTGACTACAGTGGGGTTACACAGAGTTGAAAGACAGCAATTGGGGCACAAGCATGGTATTAATTACACCAGCTTTTGGAAGCTCCAGTTCTGCTGCTGCCTGAGAAGAATGAACAAACCTCATTATTACATAAACCACTGAGTACGTGCTTGGTGATGGACAATCCATGCAGAAATACATGCTGGCTTTTCATCTCTCCAGTTTTTCTTCTATGCCATTTTTTTTTTCTTTGAAATTTGGATGAATAGAAAGTATTTTCACAAATTCCTTCCCAAGTTGAAAGATCCAAGAGCTCCATTTTTTTTAAACATGAGATTTAATTTTCTATTGAAAACCTGGATGAAAAGTGACATGTGTATTGAATTCTTGGAAATCACACCCTGTTGTGGAGTTCTTAAAAAGCATGTGTTGTATTACCTCTTAAATCCAGAGTTCAAGTCATGGGAGTCAGATCCTCAATAAGATTAAATGCGTATGACGCATGCAATGCCCATCAGTAACAAACACTTCCTGTAGTCTATTATGAGAGTGGTATTACACTAGTATTTCCTCAATATATGACATATAAGTATTTGCATTTACGAATAAGGAATCTGGTAGATCAATTCTTCCCTCTACCATAGTATAATGTAGTTATGGACAGTTACATACTTTGCAATGGGACAGGCTTAGAGGTTCAACCAATTACTACACAACTATGAGTGTAATTATCTTTGGATTTTACTGGTTTTCATTTGTGGTTTGTTCCTTTACTATTAATATGTCCTGATCTTATGTTATCTGTTATTATAGAAGTTTGATTCAAATAATGGGTTTTTCTCCCTTTGGTTCTGGTAGCAAGTTTTACAGGCATATGGAATTAAAATATCTAATTTCACCCTTATGCAAAGCCAACAAACTTTTATTTTCAGTATGGATTGCAAACACGTTACCTGACATCTTGGCCTACATATAGGGCAAGGAATTTTCACAGTAGTCAGGTTTATTGGAGCAGCTCTTATAACATTTTAGTATCATGAACTTCTTGTTATACAGCTTACTGCAGTAAGCGTCAGTGTCAGCTGAAAACTGGTGTCTTGAACTGTAAAGATTCATTTGAAAATAAGGAAATCTGAATGGCAATAAATTATTTCCTGCACTAGGAATTCTCAGGGAAAAACAAATCAGCTATCATGGCGGAATACAAACCAAGAATGAAGAACAGGTGGAAAAAATGACAGCCAATTTACTGTAGATGAAATAAGCTAAAATTACCTTCACACTTTGAGAGTATACAAGTATAGAGACTCTTCGCCAGCCAATCTTGAGTAATGACTGCTGCAAGAACCTGACCTCCCTGCAGCTTAAGAGTCCTGCATGCTTTGGTATCTTCTTCTCCATTACACTACAGAATTCAGAAATACAAACCGATATGAAGAAAGGCATGTAAGAACAGGACTCACATCAGCATCCTGAGCAGGGAGTTACATAAAATTAAGCACAGGAAATACTAAATGTCTTAAATCCTACTCTTTTTAAAGTTCCTTCTCTCAATAAAAATTCAGAGATGAGAGGCTTCTCAAGAGTGATATCTAACATGAGATTAAATATTTCTGTACAAAATGCTTGGATATCTAGCCCCTCTCTCAAATTTGATTCTGCATTTCCTCCTTATTGAATTAAATACAACAGCAAATAACTCATAGGTATATGACATTTTTCAATGAAATTTGGGACTGTCTGCTGCTGAGTCTTTGGGAGAAAACATTTGAATGGGGAGGATGGTTAGGGACAAATAATCTTGTGTCTTGTGAAATACACAAAATTGAGTTATTTTTGTTTTTAAAACTTTATGATTGACATGAATATGAAATAACATCATAGCAGTTAAAATTTTTATAGTCAAATTATAGTTGCAATTGGAGTTTTCATAGAAAATTATAAATGAAATTACATAGCCACACTAGGGATTCATTTATAATTAACTGTAAAACCACAAATGATAACTCCCAACACAGAATCTTCAGTCCACAAAGACAGTGACGGATCACATTTTACAACCTAAACCAAGAAAAGTTGCTAATTAATGCAATATATAAACAAGTATGACTGACTTCACATGGACTAACCTCTATATTATTATAAAATTACTGGATAGAACATTTTAAGCCAAATGAAAGAATTATAGATACCTCACAGAGCATAGGGAGGTGGCTATTATAGTAACTTCTTTTATATAAGACAATGCAGAGCCTATCCGAATATCGTGTTACTGGAAAAGCGCACCAGGGCAAACCCTAGAGATGAAGTAATAGGTTAAGCCAGCCAAGGTTTCTCTTTCCTAGCCTTCTTTAAGTGATGTTTTTGTCACAGATGTAACTAATGACACACACTGTTGGAGTGAATGTGGAAAAAACTTCACACAAGAAATGTTATACTTTTATTTTCCTTGCCAGACATAAATTGATTCCATATACTGTTACCACAAATCCTGTGAATACTCTGTTCTGTGCAGAAACATACTTTGCTGGCACAGATATCCTGTGTTCTAGTTTTGCTGGTTCTACTCGCTATTAAAACTACTCTTTGTTGTTTGAACTTCTATTAGAGACATAGGGCTTAAAGGACTAAGATGAAGGCTTAGCTTGTACCACTATAAGACCCCAAGAAAATCACTGCAGCTTCCTTGTCGTTTTTGTCTGCCCAGTTTTTCTTCAGTTTGAAAAAGAAATGTGAACTCAGCTTTATGAACTGCCTGCCACTTTTCAAGAAGGTCTCTCTAAAATACTGGTCATTTGAGGGTGTATCCATTAATTTGGAAAGTATTTGAGGAATATTGAGTAGAAAGAGAAAAATGCAACAAAATAACCAAATTTTTTCCCCTTTCAACAAAGCTCTTATTGTTCAAAGCAGAGTTCAGCATAAGGGCATGTCAGTGCTCTGGTATACTACAAAGGGATTAATGAAATCAGGGTCAAAAACTTTTACCTTGTTGTGTGAGGCAATGCAGGCAGGACACAGGAACAACCACAAAACCATGGATTAAGGGCAAAGAACAATTTAATGTCAATACCTCATGGATCCGGGAACCTCTGAAGCAGCACCCGGGCAGAGGCAGGCAAGCAGGGGACGCAGGCACTGCGGAGTGAGAGTCCTTATTAGCAAGAGAGTCCTTGTTAGCAAGGGAGTGAGGGAGCGAGGGAGTTCCCACTTGCTGCTTGGGCCTGTATTTCAAGGATTCTGGCAGGCAGAGTTTTCTGCTGGGCTTTGATCTCTTCAGCAGCAGGGCAAGAATCCCAGGTGTGTTTGAGAAGGTGCCCCTGAGTCCATCCCAGGCCTATGTTATCTAAGTGCAGATGTTCTACTTGTTGAGCACACAAGACTAAGCAACAATTAGTGTGATAGCTGTGTTTTCCAGCACCCCACATACAAGTCACTTGAGCGTATTTACAGTCCTCCTCGCCAATCTTCCATTAGTTTCCCACATTCCACCCCCTTGCTCAAGAGACGACTTTTGCTGGGGTTTACAAAACTGGAGACATTCATTTAGGCTTGCAGGTTACAATACAAACTAGCTCACAGAGGCATGCAATAAACATATATAGAAAAAAGAATAGACGCATCTTTACAGTAATGCTCTGAATCAGGTGTTCTGTTCCTCCTATCTAGGTGCCCTCAACCAGCTGGGCACCACCAGAAGGTTGTTCCATTTGATACATTCAGTCCTGGAGAATGTTGAATGTTGTGCTCTGGGCTGGCTGTTCCATCAGTTCCATTGAAGCAACGTGTTTTCAAAGTTGAAGCAACGTTTCTGGTGTCTGGGGAGGAAAACGTTGACTGTCAGTCAGTATGTAATGTTCATTGGCACATGGCCGTTACCTACTCAGAAAAAAAAAAACCAGCAATGAGACATTAATATCAAAGACACTTAACACAGCATAACTCTACATCACACATGCTGGGGTCAACGCGCCACTGAAACAAGCTTTCTACAGATCTGCAGCTGTTAATGTTCCCTTAGTATTAAATGCAGACAAGTTAGTTGCAGTAGAGGCTAACCAAATCTGAGTGTTTACACGTTGATTTTGCAGAGATGTATCCAGGGCATGAGCTTGTATTCCACCCCCTTGCTCAAGAGACGACTTTTGCTGGGGTTTACAAAACTGGAGACATTCATTTAGGCTTGCAGGTTACAATACAAACTAGCTCACAGAGGCATGCAATAAACATATATAGAAAAAAGAATAGACGCATCTTTACAGTAATGCTCTGAATCAGGTGTTCTGTTCCTCCTATCTAGGTGCCCTCAACCAGCTGGGCACCACCAGAAGGTTGTTCCATTTGATACATTCAGTCCTGGAGAATGTTGAATGTTGTGCTCTGGGCTGGCTGTTCCATCAGTTCCATTGAAGCAACGTGTTTTCAAAGTTGAAGCAACGTTTCTGGTGTCTGGGGAGGAAAACGTTGACTGTCAGTCAGTATGTAATGTTCATTGGCACATGGCCGTTACCTACTCAGAAAAAAAAAAACCAGCAATGAGACATTAATATCAAAGACACTTAACACAGCATAACTCTACATCACACATGCTGGGGTCAACGCGCCACTGAAACAAGCTTTCTACAGATCTGCAGCTGTTAATGTTCCCTTAGTATTAAATGCAGACAAGTTAGTTGCAGTAGAGGCTAACCAAATCTGAGTGTTTACACGTTGATTTTGCAGAGATGTATCCAGGGCATGAGCTTGTAGTACCAGGCTACAAAGCATGATGAGCCAACCTGTGACAGGGGAGGAAAACAGCAGTGACATGTCTTCCCAGTGATACATACGTGCTGCTTCAGCTCCTTCAGCTACTGTGACTTTGGGTTTGATAACCTGATGTGGGGTAATTGCCCACACGGATTGTAGAGCTATGGCTTGTGCCTTTTCAGAGTGAACTTCAATTAGATGTTGGGTTTGCAACACCAATAACAGCATTCCAATGCTATCTCCTCTAGATGAGGCACAGGTATTCACCAAAGACACCTGAAATACAAAAACTTGAGAATTTGATATTAACAAAGGATGTAAAACAAGAGGAGAAGTTGGGTTATGATGTATAGCAGAACCTTGTAATGCCTTGGACCAAAACCCTATAGGTTCTTTCTGATTTTTCATCCCTGTCATCTGCCACAATCCTGAGACTGTATCATCTGAAATTGTTACTAATTCAAATGAATATCTTTGCTTAGGAGTGTGTAATTGTGCATGCTCAATCAAAGCATCTTTGCAGGCATCAAAAGCTTCTTGTTGTTGCTTGGTCCCCTGCCAGACAACTTTCTTCCTAGTTAATTTCTGCCAAAGGCATATTAATATGACCAAATGTGGTGTAAAAGTTCTCCAGTCCCCTAAAAGTCCTCCAAAGGTCTGTAACTGTTTTACTGTGATTGGTACAGGAAATGGCTGCTTTGCTTGCTGTACCTGATTTGGTATTTTTCTGATTTGTCCATGCCAAACTATTCCCAAAAATTGTAGAGTAGCACCAGGGCCCTGTATTTTCTTTGAATTATTTCCCCAATCTTGGTCCTGCAAATGAACTTTTAGTAATTCAGCAGCTGCTTCACTTTCTTGTTGCAATTCCACCATCATCAATTGGTCATCACTATAATGGTAAACAGTAAGTGAACCGGACCACGCTGCTAAATCAGCTGCTGTCCTTAGGTGGCAAATGGAGGGATTGAGTTTGCATCCCTGAGGCAATACTTGTAAAGTATATTGCTTTTGTGGCCGGGCAACATCTTGCACTGAGGTGTCAGGCAGGGTGGAGGGGAGGGTGAGGAGTTGGTGGTGAGGCTGGGGGTGGTCGGCTTTTTTGTGTAAACGCTAACTTTTGCCACCAGGGAAACATTTCTGATGTTGTGATCCCATCTATCCCTGTTTTGGGGATACCGGCTTGTACAAAATCATTCCACATTTGTTTCCTTGTCACCTGTGCTGTAACTCCTTTCCATTTTGCTGCCTCTCCTTTGTTCACCACCTGCACAGAGGGTCCCGAAATCATAGCCCCGGTTCCCCTCAAGGTGTTTGCTGGGGTGCCTACATTACCCACAGCATTTGTCACTGCTGGTATAATCCCGGGGTTAGTGAGGCAGGCGCTCCTCTCAAAAACTGCATTTTGATACTTTTTGTCACTGCTACACTGTCCGGATTGGATCCTGTAACTGACACATGAGCCATCCTCATCTGCTGCACCAAATTAATACCTTCCTCCATTATAAACCAGTTTCCAAGGGACAACAAAAATTCAACAGGTTCTGTATCTGCTGCTAAAACTGCTGCACACAACCACTGATACGACATCGCAGCAACAGTGTCTCACCTGTCAGGACTTCTGACATTTTGCAGCTGAGCACATCCTTGGTCTACCTGATCATCATTGGCTCTAGGGCTTAGAAAAACTTTTTCACTCAGTGATAAGTGGATAGAAGCAGCTCCACTATCCCATGCTTGCAAAATCCGTGACAGTACGCCACCCCCACTCTTTTGCTGATAGATCTGAAAAAATTCCCTTAACTCTTTCAGAGTGTAAGTACTAGTGATCTGCGCTCCTCTGTCTGCTCCTTCCTGCTCCCCTCTCATTTGTATGAGGGGTTGTGCTTCCACCACCTCAGTGCTTTTTAAGCCCAGAGCAAATTCAAACTCAGTCTCAGAGTCTAAGGATTTACTCCAAATATTTTCATCCCATTCCTCGGGATCCCATGACCGGTTTGTAGTGAGAGCACAAACTTCAGAAATCGAAAGCTTACTTTTCCCATATTTGTCCCTTTGTTTATTAACATTACACACTACCAACTGGTCTACATTATCTTGCATCTCATAGCACCTCTCTGCTTGAACAGCAATTACTTCTTGTGCAATCACCTTTGCATCTTGCAAACTCCTGTTTTCCTTTTTCCAATTCTCTCACTTTACCACGCAATGCAATAACTTCACGGTCAAGAGCTCTTAGTCCAGTAGCCACCCCAATCTACTCGCTAATTTGTGAGAAGAATCTGATGCCGCTCTCCACGGCAACCCATGCATGGCCGTTTCAATGCTCTGGGGGTAATCACCGCCCCATCATCTTTTTCAGGCCATGCCTCTGGCGGAGCCAATTTAACCAAAAAAGTCACCACGGGGGTCCAGTGCTCCGTACTGGGCCATCCCGGAATAGGGGGAGTCACCATAGTGGCCTCCCCAGTCCCCAGGTTTTTTATCAACCGTGGCATGGGTGTCCCTGGAGCTGCCGACTACACCAAATGTGTGAGCCGATGCAGGCAGGACACAGGAACAACCACAAAACCATGGATTAAGGGCAAAGAACAATTTAATGTCAATACCTCATGGATCCGGGAACCTCTGAAGCAGCACCCGGGCAGAGGCAGGCAAGCAGGGGACGCAGGCACTGCGGAGTGAGAGTCCTTATTAGCAAGAGAGTCCTTGTTAGCAAGGGAGTGAGGGAGCGAGGGAGTTCCCACTTGCTGCTTGGGCCTGTATTTCAAGGATTCAGGCAGGCAGAGTTTTCTGCTGGGCTTTGATCTCTTCAGCAGCAGGGCAAGAATCCCAGGTGTGTTTGAGAAGGTGCCCCTGAGTCCATCCCAGGCCTATGTATCTAAGTGCAGATGTTCTACTTGTTGAGCACACAAAACTAAGCAACAATTAGTGTGATAGCTGTGTTTTCCAGCACCCCACATACAAGTCACTTGAGCGTATTTACAGTCCTCCTCGCCAATCTTCCGTTAGTTTCCCACACTTGTTTTTGTGGATTTTTTGTGGGGTTTTTTTTTCATTTCTGACACTAAACTGAGCTAAAATGCCCCCTTGGCTTCCCTGTGTGCTCAAAGGGCACTGCAAAGCTTTGCTTTTCCCTTTCCCTTTGCCTCCAGGTCCCATATAATTGATTCTGACCAAGTGTTAGCAGTTACATCCAACTCCCAGAAATTTTTCCTGAACTACGGTTATTCCTGGTGATTCATATGTCTGAGAATCTTACTGAAAAATAAACTATTGGAACCTTTAAAATAATTAACTTGGCTCTTTTAACACACAGGATCTTTTGAAGAGATTGCAAGGAAAGGAGAAATGTAAGAGGAGTGGAGGGCTGGACTGTGTGCTTGTGGAATCCTGGCATTGGGAAAGCATTTGTCTTTATCTACTTACACTGGGGCCAGATGTAGAAAGCCAAGGGCAACTTACCTCCCAGATGCAATGAGTAATAATGTGTAAACATATCAAAGAGATCTCCAATTTTCCAATAAAACTGAATCCAACATCATTTTTGTTTCAAGAGAGTGAAGGAAAATAAAAAAACAACAAACCCTAGATGTACAGAAGGCTTGCACTCTTATCTAAAGTGGTCAGTACCTTTCCAATAAATCTCTTTATGTAACTTTCCTTTGCAGCATTTCATATGGACATAGGTATTCAGTCTTGTCCACATAGAATAATAATCACTAAAGATTCAAAACTCAAGAGACCTGCTGCTAAAATTGCTGCTGACTCAGTCAGGGAGTTTAGCAAGCTGCAAGATGATCAGGGACATCTTCGACTAGATCATGTTGCTCAGAGCTCCATCCAACCTCACCTTGCATGTTTCCAGGAATGGTGCACCTACCACCTCTCTGGGCATCCTGTTCCATTGTTTCACCCTCCACATTGTAACAAATTTCTTCCTTCTACCTAGTCTAAATCTTCCCTCTTTTAGTTTAAAGCCATTACCCCCTGTCCAGTTGCAACAGGCCCTGCTAAAAACTTTCCTGTAGGCCCCCTTTGGGTATTGAAAGGTCTCCCTGGAGCCTTCTCTTCTCCAGGCTCAACAACCTCAACTCTCTCAGCCTGTCCTCACAGGAGAAGTGTTCCATCCCTCTGATCATCTTCATGGCCCTCTTCTGGACCAACTCCAACAGGTCCATGTCCTTCTTATGTTGGGAACCCCAGAGCTGAAAGCAGTACTCAAGGTGGCATCTCACAAGAACTGAGTAAGAGGGGTAGAATCATCTCCCTCAACCTGTTGGACACAGTTCTTTTGATGCACCTCAGGATGCAGTTGGCCTTCTAGGCTGCAAGTGCACATTGTTGGCTCATGTCCAGCTTTCCATCCACCACTACCCCCACGTCCTTCTCGGCAAGGCTATTCTCAATGCCTTCATCTGCTTGCCTGTATTGATACCAGGGGTTGCCCCAAACCAGTTGCAGGATCTTGTACTTGCCCTTGTTGGATCTCATGAGGCTCACACAGGCCCACTTCTCAAACTTGTCCAGGTCCCTCTGGATGACATCCCACCCCTCAGGCATGTCAAGTGCACCACTCAGCTTGGTATTGTCTACAAACTTGCTGGGGATGTACTTGATCCCACTGTCTATGTCATTGATGAAGATCTTGAACAGCACTGATCAATGACTCTGGTCACCAATTCCATCTGGACATTAAGCCATTGACCACTACCCACTGGATGAGACCATCCAACCAGTTCTTCATCCACTGAACAGTCCACCCATCAAATCCATATCTCTCCAGTTTAGAGAGAAGGCTGTTGTGGGGAACCATGTCAAAGGCCTTACAGAAAACCAGATAGACGACATCCGTAGCTTGTCCCATGTCCATCAGTGTGGTCACCCCATCATAAAGGACCACTAGGTTAGTCAGCCAGTTACTTGCTCTCGGTGAAGCTATGCTGGCTGTCTCGAATCACCTTGCTGTCCGCCATGTGCCTTAGCATAGCTTTTAGGAGGATCTGTTCCATGATAGTCCCAGGCACAGAGATGAGGCTGACAGTTCAGTGCTTCCTAGGGTTCTCCTTTCTACCCTTTTTAACAATGGGTGCAATGTTTCCCTTTTTCCAGTCACTGGGTGCTTCACCTGACTGACATGACTTTTCAAATATCATGGAGAGTGGCTTGGCAACTGCATCAACAAATTCCCTCAGGACTCTGGGATGCATCCTGTCATATACCACGGACTTCTGTGTGTTCAGGTTCCTCAGGTGGTCACAAGCCTGAAGTCTTATAGTGGGAGCGACTTTCTCCCCCAGAGTCTGCTTTGTGGTCCATCCACTCAAGAGGTGTGGTGAGAGAGGTTCTCAGAGAAGACTGAAGCAACAAGGTTGCTGTATTGTATAGCGGCGCCTGTAAAAAATGACAATGAAGGTAAGAACCTGTATTAGTCCTTCAAATGCTGAAACCTGCATATTGGGGTGTTCAGAGGGGAAAAAAAAAAGAATCTGCACTTGAGTAATGTGCACAATAGACATGTACTGAGGAGAAAAGAAACGTGGGTTGACTGATATGAACTGAAAATGCTGATAGAATAATGTTCCTGAGAACTGGCTTGCATTCCTCTGGGAAGGAACTGGAAACTAATTCAGAGATTATTAACTTGAGTCAATAGCTGTCAAGTTTCTGAATAAGTCAGGTTTGGTAATAACAGAAAAAGCTGAGTTGCAGTGAGTTCTTTACTAAGAATAACTCCTTTTCCTATCTTCTAATACAAATGCTGTTCTCTTTCACAACCTCAGTAGAGCTCCTACTGGCTGGACATGTGAGTTTGCTATGTATAGAACCCAGTACAACAGCCAACTGCTTTCTTAATAATAGCTTTCAGCTCCTGATTTTCCTGTAGCACACACTGAGGGGAACAAGTTCCCTGTTTGTAACAGTCATTAGAACTGCCTCTCCTGTCCTAGATTTGCATTACCCAGGCTAGTTCTCCCCATTCCCCAGAAGATTGAGCAAATCTGTTCTCAGATCTCATCAGCTGTAGTATTTCTAGGAGTACATATTGGTTGAACATAGAAGGAAATCAGATTCACAAGTTTTATCTTTCATTAGTTACTTGGAGAATATATCTGTGCTTGTATGTGTGCATTCAGATAGACAACTGTACACAAAACAGACAAACATCTACTCTTCTTCCTTTGCTTCGATACTCCCAAGCCTTCTTTTGTCTGTGGCTGGGTACTTGAACTTTCTGCACATACTTTGAACTGAGTTTCTCTTTCTCTCCATCTTTTTGACCTTTGGGGTCAGTGCTCTTCCGCACTTCTGGCCACTGTACACTCTCCCTCTGAGCCTTTATGGCCTTGCAGTTAGACATTATGTCTTTGTTTCCCCACCAGGGAAATTCCATCGCTCCAAGTCCCGGCTCTGGGGAAGATGGGGGAAGACTAAGATTTCCTCTTTTTTTCTTCCTTTTTTTCCTTTTGTTCTTGTCTTAGGCACATTTGTTCACTTACTGGTTCAGTGAAGTGCCTCTAGAACGCTCCCCTGCTCCTTAACCCAGAGGGCATGCGAACACTAAAAGGCAGAAGACATACTCACATACACTCAGAGAATCTTCCATATTGTTTTTGTTTTGTTTCCATCTTAACAGAAAACTCAATTACAAACAGTAACAACTAAACTAAACCATCTCCTCTTGCCAGTGCAGTGAGTCACCAGGACTTTCCATAATAATAAGATGAATAAGCATATTTTTTAGACTTTTGCAGTCGACTATACTTCACAGAAAAAGAGAGCTTTGACACTGCTTCTGAACCTACAGTCTTCTGCACCTAGTAAAATATGGTTTTACATCAAGCTTTTTGCCCTGGGGAGGATAAAGGAATTAAACAGTTTTCAATCAAAACTGAATATTGTACATCTTGGTCTTATGAGTCAACACAGCTTTTTAACTAAGCTGTCCTGTAAGCAAGATAGCATCTGCAAGATGAAAATTAGAAACAGCTGTATCATAGGGCTTTGCAAAATAAAACCTTGTTTACACACTGTATGGATATGCACATGGTGATCCAGGGATATTCCAAAAACTACACCAGCCTCCTGAAAATGAAAGGCTACCATGTCTTTCATTAATTTTTATGTTGGCTTAAAACTAAGTGTGGTACATGGTCCAACTGATCTGTCAACGGGATAGACAATGCATGCAGTGAAAATCCACAGTACTGCAGGAATCCAGAAGCTGTCTTTCTGGTAGGACTTTACAGGGATTTCAGTGTACTATTTCGTATCACCGGAAAAAGTGACAAGTGGAAATATTATGCTTAAAGGAGCTTTTATCAGTATAACTGTGGACTTAGTACATCTCTGCTTTTCATAATATCGTATTTCCCACAAATTATGAGATGATCATGCTTAGTAACTCAGTTCAAGCACTTCAGACAAATGCAGTTTCTATAACAGAAGAAAGAGAATCCATCAATTTAAGGACTTAAATCATATACATTTTTTTTTAAAACTTTACATCAACATTCCGTAAATTAAGAAGGAATCAATGAAATTAAAGTCCCAGCACAACATACTCTTCACTATGAGAGAAAAACTCTTTATATGTGGTGTCATTAAGAGTGCTCCAACCATGAAGGTAAATACTATGCCACTGGAATACAGAAACTGATATTTCATATAAATATGAGAACTAGGCTTGCTATCAAACTTTTCAAATTTGAAATCCACCTTAAGAAATTACCAAAGTCCATGGGAGGGAGGCATAGCGCCTGCTAGGATTAATCAGTGAAGCTAACTAATTTCTAAGGGATCAAATGATAACTATACGCCATAAAAATATCTTATGACTCATCATTTCATTATATGCCATAGTCAGAATCTGGTCACTTCAAAATATATATATAAGCATGTCACATAGGCTACCTATCACAAAGTACCTGTTACTTTCTGCTTATATTCCTATGTTTTACATTCACAGTGTATTACTGTCTGGGGTATACCAAATTTTCTAATTCAGTATAATTTTTGCACCTCACTGTTGAGATGCTGCTAACTTCCAGTTTCAGACAACATATGAAGTTGTTAATGGAGGCATAATATTTACTGCTTTTGTTTCAGAATATTCATTCTGTTACTTCCACACACACATTCTAATTTAGTCCTATTTATTATTCCGCCTTGGTTTTGTGATTTTTATAATCCAATTTAGACTGGGAGTAGAATGTAAAAAGGTACAGTATCAAATAGACTGCAAAATAATTAACTCTATAATGTATTCCATAGAGCTATACTCTGCCTACAATAAGCATACATAAATTCATTTTGATGTATCATGCTTAGCACAGAGGTAAGTGGGCATGTAATTAGTTCATTTATTGAATGTTTCCTCATCTAATTATACTGTAAAAAATGTTTGTGTTTTAAAAGCAATAAAGTTACTCCAGCACAATTTAATTTAAACCTATCATATTATTTACTCCACCAGATCTTGCGATTCTGTGAAGGCACAGAAATTCTTCCTACCCCTCCACCTCAGCCTCCCTAACATCTGCCCCATTTCAGCAGAAAATGTGGCTTCAGGAAAGAAGCCACATAGCATACTACTTTCAAAGCAGTAGTAGACTACTACTTTCAAAGTCAGACTGAGTAAAGCCCTGGAATGCGCAGATGCATAATTAACCCTTTGCTGTTGAGAGGAGGAGCCTTCCACTAACTTAATTGGATTTTGGCTTAAATCTTGTAGTGACACCAAAACACATATTCATTTGTAAGCTTTCAAGCAAATTTGCTTTTCCAGCATGACCTGTTCTCGTCTTCCACAAGGATTTGTTTCTTCACCTGTTCCTATTTCCTATTTTGTAATATAGAAATCACTGTCCCGTGAGCAACAGGGAGTTGTTTTCTGATTCAGGACCCAATAACCTATATATGGGAGATGGGAGAAAAAGACAATTCATTTCTGAGGCACTTAGAAAAATTAAGTCTGTCCAGGTTGGAACTACATTTGCCCTTTTTTGCTTCTAATCACAATAAACAAATAATAATAAAAAATATTTCTTTTTGCTCCGTAACAAATCTGTTCCTGAGAGTTCAAATTTTCACAGGTAGAATTGGTATTTTGGCCAAAGACATCTTGGATATGTGTTGCATATTAAAATTGAACATAAAGCCAAAGTACAGAAACTAGTTGTGTTCCCACTCTCTTCAAATGGGTATTGCAAATTTATCTGTGCCTGCCTGATTTGGCTGGATAGCTATGTATTTCCTATGAGATGCAGAATGTCCAGTGTGCCTTGAAGACCAGGGATCCTTCAGAGTCATCTTTGCTCATTGCTTTTCTGTGCCCAAGGAACTTGGCAGGTCGCAGAAAATCCTGTCACATGGATCCTGTCATGTGACAGGATGAGACAGAATCATCCTGTCACATGGCTCCTGTCATCTGACAGGATGACAGAATCATCCTGTCACATGGCTCCTGTCATCTGACAGGATGACAGAATCATCCTGTCACATGATTCTCATCACATGAACAGAGTACTTGCACATTGTTTGAGGAAATGTGTGCTTTACACTGCACAGGCTATCTGCCTCAGACAGAAATCTGTTTAGTTACTGTCTGCAGAAATCAGCTTTATCAAAATTGTAGTTGAAGACAAGGCATCAAGACTGGTCTGTGTAATGAAGGATGTCATTTTGTGTTGTGTCTTTAAAAAAATCCTGCAAAACCCATCTTTGTCGGTATGCAAAAAAATATGCTGGTGGTGATGTTTCATATTATACTCTGTTCCTGTAAGAGGCATCTGCTCAAGAATCCTTTCTTCTCCAGTGAGATGTAGAAAGGTTGTCTTTTTTGTTACAGTTTCAAAATCAAACTTCAAGAGGTTAAAAATCTCATAATTTATTTTTCTGATGGTAGCGTACTTTTCATTCTTATATTGCAATAAAAAACTTCTATGAACATGGCACACTTTTTTTCCCTCCCCCTCATCAAGAGGACTATTGCATCATTCTGTTTTCTGTGAAATCCATAAAGAAAATGTGATTTGTTTGTTTGCGCTTGCCTCACCCCCCTGACAGAAGCTGCATGGCATCTAGGGAATGAAGCATAAGATTACCTATCTCCTGGATAAAAACCAGAAAGGATGGTGTCAGTTAAAGCAGAAAAAGGCTCCCTGTCACTGAATGTTTAGCATCTCTGGCTGATTCTCTAGTCATCTTATCCCAGGTGTCCAATTAGGGCATGAGTGTCTCAACTGTGCAGAACTGCAGGCAAGCCACAGCTGAACCTACGGTTGCTGAAAGCTATACTTCAAAAATACAAATCCATGCTTTGAAAAAAACCCTGCACCTTCTGAGATAATTAGGTGCTCAGATGTTAAACTCGTTAGTTCACTTCTGGAAGTCTATGTAATATTTCTGCATTTCATTGGCTTCACAGGAGATGGTACACAGAGAACTCAATAATTACGTATTTTAGGTAGCGTCTGAAAAGATCGCTGTAAATGAAGTACAGGTCACAGACAGGAAATTTCTTTTTAACGAGCAATCTCAATCCTCTACACTGAATGAAACAGAAATCAAGTATATGATGTAATCAGAGACAATACTATAATGCAGAAAGAACAAAATGAGAATTGGAAAGGTAACTACTTCACTTGTAATTTAAACCCTTGACTTCTCCACCTCACAACTTCATTCTAATATACTTTTAGGATACAGTATATAATTTTAAAATTATTTCTTTCCTAACTGATACATCATTACTCTCTTTTAAAGAACAGGTGTAGGTGCACATGTAGATTATAAATACCAGAGAAACACCATGATGCTCCTTCATTATTTAGAAAAGTAAAAATTTTTACTTGTAATTGATCCATTATTTTATCAAGGAAAAATTACAGTAATGTTTTATTTTTAAATGTGGTAGCCTCCATGTGTCTGCTAAATGCATGGGAAAAGATATATAATAATGCTGCCCATCCACACCATATTCTGTGTAGATAGAATCATATAATGTTTCAGGTTAGAAGGGACACTAAATATCACCTAATTCCAACCCCCCTGCATGGGCAGGGACACCTCCCACTAGACCAGGTTGCTCAAAGCCCCATCCAGCCTGGCCTTGAACACCTCCAGGGATGGGGCATCCACAACTTCTCTGGGCAGCCTGTTCCAGTGCCTCACCACACTCGCAGTAAAGAATGTCTTCCTTATATCTAATCTAAATCTACTCTCTTTCAGTTTTAAACTGTTCCCCCTTGTCCTATCATTCCACTCGCTGATAAAGAGTCTCTCCCCATCTTTCCTATAGGCCCACTTTAAGTACTGAAATGCCAAAAGAAGGTCTCCCTGGAGCCTTCTCTTCTCCAGGTTGAACATGAAATGAAGTCTTCTGAAAAAGATCATGTTTCAGAAGTTGAAATCACGGACAATATGAACAGAAATACGGTCACAACCTGAAGGATAGCACTTCTCCCACTTTAAGCAAAGGCATGAGTACTGTAGCTGGCTGCTTTGTAGAACAACAACCTTTCCTCTTTTCAAATATAATTTTATAGTTACAAAAGTATTTTCTCTTTTAAAATAGGGAAGAAAGATGACAGGGTGGTTTCCCAAATCACAGCATTTGAAGACATGAAAAGACACCAGGCTATTTCGCTAGTAAGGAATTGTGAAGTTTTGTTTGTGTCTTCAAGCTACACATGTCCATGCATAAAAGCAGCAGGAAATATAGCCCATTTTGCTGACCCTGCTGTGTTACGGCTACAGCCACAACAGTGGAGAGAACCTACCACATTCTCCATATACCTGCATAAAAGAAGCTGATATTTTTTCAGGTTAGCACTAAGGCCCCATGTGTCAGCCAACAGATGTGGCCAGATTTATGATGGAGAGCATGCTAAACTTACAAGAGAGCTGGAATAAGTTACCCTGTTGTTCCGACAACAGAAACAGCAGAAGAGTTGTGTTCATGTCACATTTTTCTTCTGGTGTTTCTTCTGAAATGATACAAACTAAGTTGATGAGTTCATCATTCATTCCATTGAAGCTCAAAGATATAAACTAAGTCCATGAATATTAACCTTTACTGTCTGAGAGTCATGTGCTTAAATATTTTCTCTCTTCTATAAACCAGGAGCTCTTTTAATGTCAGGAATTTTAATTCTACACAAAAACTGCTCCAATTTCTCTCTGCAACTGCCAGACTTCAGGATAAACTAAGATAGAATTGTAGTGATGCAAGAGTTAAATGGTGACTTCCCGATAAAAAGGAACAGTGCATAAAACCTTTCCTTTTCCTGTAACTATTGTAAGTAATTCACAATATTTAATACTTGGCATAAAGGTTTTATTTTCTAGTGACTGGGATTAATCAACTTTTATTAGGATAACTCAGTCTAGAACACCACATACAAATTTAAGCATTATCAAGCAACAATAATGCTTAATGAGATCTTTAGGCAGATCACTTCTTTCTCGAAGAACATAGAAATTAAAACCAAATCTTTCTCTATGCATCTCTTCGTCCTCAGATGGTTGACTTTTGGCATGTCTCCCTGCTTCCAGGGCTTATGGGTTTTTGGAAAGGGAAAGAAGGTTTTCCTTGTGGAAATCATGATGTTGCTATTACTAGTCTTTGGAGTTGAGTGGACAGATTTCCAAATAATTAAACACTTTTGCATCCAGCAATGAAAAAGACTTACTTCCAAAACGCGTTCACAGTTTCATGAGTACTGTACTTACAGTTTCACAGAAGGAAAGCATAATGTGGTATGTTATAGAGCTCCTTTTCACACAATATTTTTGGCTTCTGTGACATAAACCCCTTTATGGTCAGCAGTCACACATATTAGAACTTGGCCAGGCACTCAGTTGTTAAAGAATTACACCTATTCTGTTCTTGGGGATTTACTTGAGCAACATCAGCCTTCTTGGTTGGCTTAGCACAGGTTTCTGAGAAATTCTCTGCATGTTGAATTCACTGGATGTCATGCCATATTTTTTTTCTGGGGGAAAAAACCCAAGCATTCACGCATAAAGATTCTATTCTATAGGATATGACATGCACAGATATATTTAGGACAAAGGCTATTTCATTCCTTTGAATATGAAGGCTTGATCTTATTTTCAGCCACAAACTTAATCTTGCTTTCTAATTTTTCCCCTATAAGTGAACATTATGTTTTTGCTGGTTCTTTTAAGTTTTAATTCCACTTTGAAATATCCTCTAGTACAATCTGTTTTTCACTCTCAGAGTCAAGGCTCAGTCTTCTCATTAGAGGATAAAAGAAGCTAATTGATTCTCATGTGGTTAGTCACAAAATTAGGAGTCCCAGGACTGTTTTTATGGAATGCCAAAAATTAACATCTTCAGATAAAAAGAAGGGCAACTCTGTTGTCATCTATCTCTGCTACCAAACTATTTGCCTTGATGAAGACAACTTTTGAATTTATCCACAAGTTTGCAACAAAACCTGATCCTCAGAGCAGGATCTAATGTGGTCCGATTGTTTTATATAGAGTCTCTAGTTCTAGAATAGATGTCTTAAAAGACTTTTTTCCCAGCTTTTCCAGTGTTTTTTCCACATTTTGCAAGTAAGTCGTAAAGCTTTCCAATCCTTACTTGTATCTCAGCTAAACACTCCAACTTTCCATGTTTTCTTTGAAATAGAGTAAACTAGTTGATGAAACTTCTGTCTTCTCCATCATACATATCACTGCAGATATGTATAAGGATTGCAGAAAAAAATATATTTTGAGTTTCTTAGAGATACAGCAATCAGTAGCAAATACTATGTCTTCCTTAAAGTAAATAAAATATAAAATAAAAATTCTTTAGAGCAACTTCATTTTACATTCATTTGCCCTACCTTGCTTCTCTGAAGTTAAGGTGCGAACTGTAGACTGTCTGATAGTCTCCTAACTATCCAAAATGTAACTTTCATTCCTACTTTCACGCTTCCTCTTCATTTAGTACCCACATGTGGATTCAGTGGGTTCCCCAAAACTACTTTACAGTAAACTATTCATTCAGGAATCTTAAACCTAGGTCTCCCCTCTTTACCTTCTTGATGTACAGAGTTGTCATCTGTAGGCAACAGAATGACCAAATTTGTGAATAATGTCATAGTAATCAACTAGAAAAAACAATTCTTCCACGTTCCTAATAGGTACATTCATGCTTCTCTTCTCCTTTCCACTTGTACCTGATTGTGAGCTATTCAAATCCTAATCCAGAGCTGCCTACTCACCAACTCAATTTAATGAAAATAATGCAAAACACCTGCAAAAATGATGCACAAAAATTGTTCCTGTTTCTCCACTTTTTATTTGAATGTGCATTTGAATGAATGCATTCATATAAAGTGCTACTAATGCTGATTGTCCAATTATATGTGACAAACCTATTATCTTTTAAATGGCTTCATTGCTGGACATTCTTTGGATTCCTTCCCATTAGTTGTCAGTGCATGCCAGTTATTTGTCATAAATCAGATTTTTGCCTCATTTTAGGTGAACAAGGAAGTCTGCTTCAACAGATGAGAACAAAGTTTTCAAGGACATGCCAAAGAACTGTTTCTGATTTATAAAAGAAAGGAGGACTTTATGAAAATTAACTTTCAGATATACTTGATAATGTATAAGACCCAGTAGTTTTAATCCGTCAGCAATTTTTGACTGATACTTCAGAAGATTATTTTGACATTTTTTTGACATATTAACTCAGCATATTCTGATGTATTCTGAAAAAGTAACACTTTCATTTGGCTTTTTTAAAAAGCCTGAGCAAGAATAACAATAAAAAAGTAAACATGACTTTTTTTAGTTGCTGAATGGAAAATGTTATGTAAATTAAAACTTTCCATAGATATTTTTGAAATGTTTACACTTTTATCTTTGTGTTCTCAATAAATGAAAAGCTGCCGGTGTAGTTAAACATCAAGCACAGATGAACTCTAAATATTATCTATTTAAAAGTTTGAATGTAGGATCAATAGGTAAATTGCTCTTAAACCAGTAATTATATATACACCATGTCTTAAATATGGAAAAGCAAATAAAATCTGCTTGGCTTATTTTAGGTCATTATATTTCCAGAGATATTTCAGAAAATTCTTGGGCCAAACAGATTTTTTAAACTGATACTTTAAATACCACTAATTTTCATTCATCAGGATTATTTTCGTATTTTAATTCTCTATACCAGCCTAACCACGAAGATGCAGCTTGAAGTAATAAAAATTAGCTTCTACTTAAATTTAATATTAACATGCACAGAAGGTTTTATATGCCCAAATCAACATCTAGGCTTACCTGATCATTCTGTTGAATAAATGGTACTATGAATCAAGCTGCTAAAACTGCAGTGCTTGATTTGATTTTCTTCAAGTCTCAGCCTGGGTATTTCTGGTCTATACAAAAATTGCAATCTGTCCTGTAATAAAGAAAAAGCTAAGGAGTGAACATGGCATTGGCCTTTGGTTTTTTATCACACTGAGCACAAAATTAAGGTAGCATCAGAAACAGTAGAGGGGAAGGAAGAGAATAGATACCAGTATTCTGTAAGAAAAAGAAACATATTTTCTCCCCTTAGACCAAACACAACTGCTTTCTACACAGAGCCTATCTGTGTCAGGGTAGTTGTGTCAAGGCAAAAAAAGAGCAGGAATTAAACCCAGAAATTTAAATATGAAGGGAGCCTTGAACTTAAGATGGTGACACTACAGAAACAAAAAACTGACTGAGCAAAGATAACTCTAGTTCCAAACACAGGGCTACCTTTCTAAATCTCTGTTGAGTTGGTGGTAACGTTCAGGATCATGATGCCCAGGTGCAGGAGTGCAATTCAATGGCTGATGCTGGAGACTGCATGAAACATGATGTGAGAGGGGTTAGGCACAGAAGATTAAGCATGAGAATTGGGAATACTGTCTTAGAATTAGATCCCTACCAAGAGAATTTATAGTTAAAAAACAACCAAACAACAACAAAAAAACCACCAGAAAACCAAAACCAGCTAGTATCAACCATACAGCACACCATGAATGCAGAGGTACCCATGTAGGTTCCCAAGCATGTCTTGCTTCAAGAAAGGTGATGCCAAAACTAAAAAAAAGGTGTTTTTCAGCAAAGACAATTAGCTTGAAAGCAGCAACACAACCATGCATGCTGAATATTTTTAGTCATCTTCAACCTGGAGATCTCTGCCCAGCATTCTATTGTGAAAAGAGCCCATGAATACACAGCACACGGGTTCAACTTGGAGCCCATGGAGTCAGGGCTGGAGGTGGGGGGGTGGGAGGGTGGAAAAAGCAGTAACTAAAGCTAACATTGAACTGTTCTCACATCCACCTGATTATGTCTATCTTACAACTGCAGTGTAATTTAGACAGTTCAAAAGCCTGGGGCATATTTGCATGTGGAAGTGGATTATAGTGCCACTCCGAACATCTGCACTGTGGTGATGCAAAAGCTGTGCTCTTAGCATGTTCCTCCAACCTTTGTCCTTGGCTCTGCTCTCTCTTGGTGTGCTGGAGCCTAGAAGGAGTTCTCCAGGGAGCCTTCTGCAGCTGTCTCGCAGAGATCCTATGCCAAGGCAATTTTTTTCAACAGGAAGCAGGCTTTGGGAATACCTTATGCACCTTCAAGATTCTGCTTGGTAGAAAGATACTGGAACAGACTCGGGGATATTACTCAACCACTCTAATAGCACTGTTTCCCTTAAAACTATACTAAAGGGTAACATTTTAGCACTGACTTGGAAAGGTGATTGATATATATTGAACTGCCAATGCTATTTCCTCTGCAATTTTCCCTCTCAATGTCCGTTCCAGGCGTTGGCTCTTGCTATAGGTTGACACATTGGAAGAGGTTATAGTGTTGAGTATAGAGGCTGAGGGATAGCCTAGATGAATGACATCCTAGATGCAGTATACCTATATATAACTATTAAACTGATTACTGGAAAGTGGAAATTTTTTCTTTATTTCTACTGCAACAATGGTTATATACAGAGTAGTAACTGAGAAAGGACATAGTATAAATCACAGATTACTTGAACAGCTTCCCTAATATTTTTACTATTTTCTATGTTAAGACAAAATATGGTAGAATAAATCAATTACCATGAGGCTTAAAAGCTATAAATAAAATTATTAGACTAGAGTGCAAAGTAATGGCTGTGCTCATACCACACAATGGAGCATTATACAGAGACCCCTGAATAGGGACAACCAAGCTCATGTGACATTTCGTTACTTCATTAAAATATTAATGATCTTGCCTATTAGAATATCTTTACAGGTACGTCTTTTAGAAATAGACTATAACTCTTGGTTTTACAGAGAAAAGGTGAAGTGATTAGCTTGGCCTTTCCCTCTCCTTGCCAACTTTTATTCCTGTGTTTTATCTCTTGCAGTGCCCAAGACTATTCCCTAGTTTCTTGAGCTGCTATAGTTGCTAAATTGAAGAAAGCATACTTCGTTTGCACATACTTAGCTGGATATATGTTGTGTTATTTAGGAAGCAAAAAAAAAAAAAAAAAGCACAGGCACCTCTTTATAAAGGAAACAAACAAACAAAATAAAAATCAAAGTACTTCTTTCTAGAGTGACAGACACTGACTTACCCATTTTGAATTCCTATGAAAGAAGTATTGGAGATTGGACTTCAGCGTGTTTTGCCACAGTTATATACACCCCACCTCTTTTCACTGTGTTACTCAAAAACTTCTCTTCTGGTGTACTTTTACTGAAAACAGAATAAAATGTTTCCTCTGAATTCAACACTTCCCAAGTAAGTTTCTCCAGGGCCTTAAACCTCCTTCAGCAAATGAGGCACCTGCATACTTCCATCAAGCAGCAGTAGCCAGGCACAAAAGAAATGTCCATATCTCAGCAGAGCAGCAAGTTACCTGAATATCCCCCTATCCCTGAGGCCAAGAGTTTTCACTGATATCTGAGGCATTTGATACAAAATCCACTAATTAATCTGATTAAATAGTAATGATCATGTTCCCTTTTAATCTAATGCTTGTAAAAAACCCTGCCTTGTTCTGGTTTAATATTAGTATTAGTTTCAAGGAAAGATGGCTTACCAACTTTTCATGATCTACAAATGATACACTTGTGAGGGATTCCTCCACATAATCCACACACAAGGGCTAAGAGTAACAGAAGCATTGCAGTCTATATACTTTTGAAAGTAGTTTTCCATATTTTTCATACTGATAATCTAAGCCAAATATCACATGGCTTTTATGACTGATTGATTTTTTTTTTCCCTCTGTGCCACCATTGCAGGTATTCCTCAGGAAAGCAGAAGCAAAATTCTGCTATGCAGTTCATCTTGCACCTGTCCCCATTCTATAACATTTCCTTCCAACAGAGGAAACATTATGAGTGCATGGTTTTAGCTTTGAGTCCAGGACGAAATGTTATGATGCAGCTTTTCTGGAAATCTATTCAGGGCAGACAAGCTGGGCTAAAAAATGTTAGGAAATAAGTTTTTCCTGTCTGAAGAAAATGAACCAAACAGTGTCCTCCCAAATATTACATCTGGAGGCTGAAACTAGAAGTATTGTTGAATGGGATGCACTGTGAGTAGCAATATTTAGGCCTTCAGTTTATTTTTGGATATTCGTCACTGATAGCAATAGACTGAGAGCTCAAACTCAATGCTGCAGCTTGCCAAGTAGGAGTCTGCAATGCCACTAGGCTGTGATGGTTTTTGCATTACTCTTGAAAGCACTGCTGGGAGAGACACTGCACTGCTGGTTAGCAGTGTGATTTCTGGAAATACTGGTTCAGAAATGGAGCAAGTTGCAAAGCACTTCCAAGCATGCCAGCGCTATAAAGTATTTGATTTCCCTGCCTCTTCAGATCCTCCATTCTCACCTGAAATCCTATTTCAACTCTAATAACAGGAGCGTACCCGCTTCGTGTGGGTACCCGAATTACCCTTGTCGTCCCTTCCTGGTTGTCCCTTCCAACCCCATGTCATTCTGTGATTAATTTCCAGCTGCTGTTAGCACATGCTTTCTGTGCAACAATCCCAGATGCCAACACAATCTGGGGGCAGGGGAATAACACCACTTCTACCCTTGCCCAGGTCTCTTCCCTTTTCCCCATCTTCCTCTCTACAAAGAAAGAAATAGCCACCCATTTCCAGGGAAGATGGCCCTTGTACCTTTTGCCGAAAGCACTAAAAATAAAAATGCTTTGACCACAGCAAAGAGGGAAGAGTGCAGGGGCCCGTGTTGTGCTCATGCCCCATGGAGTGCTGTGGCTACCCAAATTTCTCCCTGAACTATCTTAACTCCTCTTACTCAGAACTTGCACTGGAATATCTCTGATTAGCACAATGCTCTGATCACAGTCTAGGGAGAATAAAGGTTCATTCCCTTATTTTGGCGTAAGCCTCCAGCTGGCAGAGTTTCTCATCAGCTTATCCAGATACGAAACCTGTTGCTTATCTCCAGCATCCTGAGCTGCTGCTTGTGAGTTTATTCTGCCTGTACCCTCTGACAGAGCAGCCTCTTTAAGTTCTGTGGAGACGCTCTGCAACCTCAGAGCTGGGCAGGGGTTTCCGACCTTGCTGGGCAGTTCCAATTTTTGCTGGAAGGGCCTGGGAAAGCTGTGGGGTGGCAGTGCTGCTGGCACCAGTGCCTCCCACCCCAACCAGATGCTGGATGCAAGGCAGCAGCCTCCACACAGGAGAGCAGCTTCCAACTCCACAATGGTCAGCACAAGGCAGCATGTCATTTCAGGACACCAGATGCTGATTTTTTAATACTTATTTTCTGACCGTCACTCTCATCTACTGGTTGTTGTTTTTTAGTCCTCCATCTGTTTTGACCACATAATGATGCTATTTACACAGATTTAAAACCAAGGTCAAGTTCTGCTGTAACTCGTACCAAAATCCCTGAAGATTCAGGCTTTACCCTGTTGTAGAAGACACGCCGGTGCGGGCAGTGGCGTCGGCTTTCCAAGAACAGAAAAAATCTTCAAAAGCCCTAGGAACATCCCATGTAAAAGTCAGGTAAAGAGTTGTTGGTTTGGGGCTTCTTTTATGACATACCATAAAAGAAAATAGCATCAGTGAGAGATGCTGCAATTTTATATGATGGAGCAAAGAGCAATTTATTACTTTGTGAAATATAACATTGCCTTTTATCTGACAGTGTGTTCATTGCATCAATAGTAGGTCATTTTATAGAGCATTTTATGGTGACTGCAGAGACCTTGCTGCTTAAGGCAGACACAATTCCTGCCCTGTTGTTGCCTTTCCAGTTTCTCCAACCTTTTTATGGAGGAAGGTAAAGGTATAGTGAAGAGTACCGAACAGTAGAAACACCATTTCTGCCCGTTCTGTCAATTCAAGCCATGTCATTTTCAAAATCTCAGTATTTCCATTGTGCTAAAACAGCTTTTTTTCTCTTTTTTTCCTGTTAGAGTTTTACCTTCATAAATTCAGTGATATGTTTTTAATCACTGTAATGAATTTTTGTGTTTTCCACCCATGCAGTTCTGAATGGCTGCAATGCATAAAAGCTTCAAACCATAGCTTGTGTAAAAATTATTCTGCACCTTAGTTTCCAAGGAATTTGGGATTTCTTCTCCAACAGCTATTGGGGGAGGGAATGCACTGAGGGAGGGAGGCACTGAGAATGAGAAAAATGTATCTCTTCCAGGAAACATTCAGCATTTCAGATCAACACAGGACTCTAAAGAAATTCTGCAGATACTGGCACCAAAGCAGAAGTGTGGGGGAAAGCCACAGTAAAGAAATAATTCCTCCCAGCCTCTGCAACATATCCTTGTGTGAAGCAGCACTTAAGTGTGGTGACAAAGAAGATGTAAAGAACCAGGGCAGAGACGAAAATAAGACAATTTTTTATGGTAGAAGACAAGTATAATAATGTTTTGCCGACTGAAGCTAGGGTTCAAACTACCAGCGTTTCTCCTTTGTGGATTGTATCTACTGTCATGGGAAGAAATAGGGGAGGGAGTGGAAGCAGGGTTGTAAATGACCTGGCTTGAAGGCCACTGCAGTAAACAGAAAGATGAAGTGCCACTGCCTCAGCAGGTGTCTACTCAAAATAGGATATGAAAATCCTCATTGCTTTGGATTAGACCCATGATGTTTAACCTGAAACGGTAAGCACAACTTGAAACAACCTCATCCAAACAATCACAAGGTCCTAGATATGTTATAAATTGTAGAGAAAATAGAAATGATACAAAAAAATGGAGTGTTAGCTTCAATCATTTCTTCATTTTAGCTTGACTTGAGGGAACTGCATATAGTCCAAAACCAAATCTAAATCTTGCATTTATTTTCTACTCCAGACTTAATATTCTTTCTTAAAAAACATGACATAGTAAATTTATTTTAATCACTAACCTTATGTGCAATAGAAGGGTATACATTCATTAATAAAGCCCATCACAATTATATCCCCATTTAAAAATTTTAATCAGGGGATAAAGCTTAGAACAGGTGTTACAGCTGGAAATCTTAGAGCTCCTGGTTATACTGAGATCATGTCCTGGAGTAAAGGTACATGGTGCACATTCCTTGTGGTAAGCTCAGTACTGTGAAAGGCTGCCAGCCCATTTTGGAAATGGTCTGGCAAATCCATTCTTCTCTTCTGGATTTAGAACAATTTACTCTACTTTTCCTTGTTTTTTTTTTTTTCAATCACTGCTCTGCGTTGTATGAATGCCAGATATGAATGTTGTCTGAAAGGTTAATCTAAATTTACTTGATCCATGTTTTTCTTAAAGTGCCTTCCTTTCCATCTGTTTTGGACAGCTAGCAGACATGAGCAAGCAAATACTTCTGCTTGTGGAAAAGTTACTTTAATGGCTACTTATAACCTACAGTCTCCAATACAGTGAGTCAAGTATTCAAGACCTGGTAGCACAATATAACCAATCTGGTGTGTGCTGTTCTGGGATGAACTTTCCTCATTTTCCCCTGTCTGTTCTGTCTCCTGTATCAAAGAAGTAATTAAGATGGATGGATACTGACTGAATACAGTGCATAGCGAATACCTTCTGCATTTAGGAATTGAGTCCCATTGGATTTTTGTCTTTTCTGTTACGAAATCTTTATAAACACAAGTAGAGCATCAAAAGAAAGAAGAAAGACTCTCACAAACCACTCCCAAAACTCAAGGCCTGACATTAAGACTCCCTGCTGGGTAATAGGAAGCATCATTTCAAATTCCCATATTGGGGGGAGAATTTATGAATAGCTTCATAAGATAGTCTCAGGATGAGAGAAAAACCTTTTAGTTATTTAAACCAGATTAAATTAAAAAAATTTGCTCAACTGTAGCTGCATACTTCATGCCAGTTTTTCTTACCCACATGGTCTAGGAAGGAGAAAATAAATACCAGTCATTATTCATCATATGCCTTGGATAGTTTAGTACTTGTTTACTTGTAACTTCAGAGCTGATCAGGATGCACATTTGCTCTGACAGGTGTGCTGCTTGCTCCTTTTGTCAGCAGAGCTACTCGAAATATCTTTTTTATTTTACCACCTGTGCAAACCTTACCACAGATGTAAAACAAAAATTATGCAAGAACATTTTTATTGCTTTATTACATCCACTGAGCCAAAAGGCTGTTCTTGGTGTGAAACAGGGGCAAATTCAAAAAGAGAAACCCCCTTGGAGTTCAGAAGTGTGAATAAGAAGAATAGAAGGGAACCAATATTTAAGACCAGGGCCCAGATCTGCAGGGGCACACTGTATTTCACATTTGAGTAATTGCTGAAAGCAGGAAAACACGGGCTGAGTTAATATCTACAGGACAAATTAATTGCCTTTTGAACTCCATAAAAAAACCTTAGCTTGACTTGCACCCATTTACTTGCCTAATTTTGGAATATTGGGTCAGATCCAGCTGAGATCTTGGCACATCACATCATGCTGCCGGGATGTAATAAATAATGAGGATGCAAGTCCTGAGGAAAAACATTTGTACCATGCTCTGTATATGCAGAAAAGCAGAACTGGGGGCCAAGCTAAAGGAAAAAATACATTTCTCTCTTGCTTCCAAACTCATGTTTCCTTCTACTACCATTACTAATGGCTCAAACTTTCAACTTCAGATGAGTCTGCTGTTCTATGAAACCTTTCTGTCAGCTTTTTCCTGTTCTCTAAGTATTGAAGTTTTCTTTCTACATTTGCTCAGATTTGCTTCAAACAATGCCATGGGGGAAAGAGATGTTCAAAGCAAAGCTCAAGAAATATGAGACTATTTTATAAGAAGGGCTGGCTTTCAAAGGACAGCATGGATTAAAATACATGGAAAGATCCTGAGCAGAACATGATCCCAGTACGAGTGCAAGAAGTGGGATCATTTGACATTGGTAACCTGTGACTTTGCAAGTTCTAAGCATAAATCAGGCCATTAAACAGTGCCTTAAAATGGACAAAGGTGAAAGATTGCTGTGAGTAATACAGCATTAGAGAGTATAGGATTAAAAAAAATAATAATTTTCCAGACCAAAAAAGGAATAGCATGAAAAGTGGTGTGTTGTAGACAGTTGGCCATAAAGCTCTCAGAAGTAGTTGCATACAGCAAATAGGAATGTAGAGACAGTCAACAAGGACATATTCTTCCTTGTGGAGTAGACAGCTCTAGCTAGCCACATACCTTTTAATACTGAACACTTCAATGAGCTCAAAAAAACTACCCTCACTATGAAACAAGCTAGATGGGCCTCTGGAAACCAGGGTGGCAAATTTAACAAGTTAGGAAATAGGTTTAGGAACTTTACAACACAAACCTGCTGGTAGATTCTTAAAAATAAGGTGTAAAGTCTCCTCAATGACTTGCAGCATTGGTCTTGATAACACAAAGCATTGCACTCATAAAGATACATGAATCTTTAAAGACATGGCTCAGAAGTGTTTCCAAACCATGCAGCTAACTAACCTCCTTTAATTTTAGGGCAAATAGACATTTACTATTAGTAGATTCCTTTATGGGATTTTGATTGTCTCCACAGCCCATAGCAATATTATTTCCTTCCAAACCAAAAAAATTCCATTTCCATTTCCCTCAAGGCCCTTGGTTCCTTTCTAGAGGAAACATCTTTCTTTCTTTTGGCTTCCCTGTGGATATTTATTTATTATTTTAGGGCAGAGATTTTTTTTTGGAGGCATTGGAGATGGAAAGGACTTACTTAATCATTTAGGACTGACTTAGTCACGGACATGGCCTTGCAGTCCAGCCCATTATCAAGTGACCTTGGCTGTTGCTATATTTCCCCATGTTGCTGTCTCCTGGCACTCATAATAGGGAGGTTCCCCCAGGATTTACAATGGAGTCAGTCTCTTTTCTCATATATTTCCTTCTGTCCTTTGACATTGGCTGTTTGTCTCTTACTCTCTTCTGCATGGTTTCTTCTTTTAAAAAAATGTTATGTTACATGTTCAACTTCACTTCTACTTTTCCTGATAGATGTGTTAGCAGACCCTGTGGACAGACCACTGTTTGGGAAGTAACGCCAAGTGGCACCCACTGGTGTTACAGTTTTCGTGTAGCCAGCAGAGCCTGTGCACTTTCCCTCTGTGGACAGACCACTGTTTGGGAAGTAATGCCAAGTGGCACCCACTAGTGTTACAGTTTTCGTGTAGCCAGCAGAGCCTCTATTATGCACTGAGTATACCTACGTCTTACAGGGAGCCGGGAAGACTGGGGCCTTCGGTATTGTATACGTAGAGTTTCTCTGTATATAAACAGGTAAATTCAGAGGGAATTGTTCTAAGATCTCAATGTTTTTTCTCTTCATTTCCCTTTAAGGAATGCAAAATGCCACCAAGTCCTTAAAATTTGGGTATTACAGTCTTACAACTATATAACGGTCTGGAATCAGTGGTATGGAAAAAGGCTTATTAACAGACAGTTTGCAAGAGGAGCAAGATCCTGCTGACTGGTGTATTTTTTCCAAAATGCAGGCTACCACTGGAGTATATAACATTTTTTCCAAAATGCAGGCTACCACTGGAGCTTGGCACTGACTGAAATGATAGCAGTGATATGCTAGTGTTAAAAAAGCATTATAATGTACCAGTGAGCAGCAATACAAAAGGTGTCTCTCACCAATGACATTTAAAGACTTAAGAAGTTTTAAAGACAACTCCTTACCGTGTACAGCACGAGGGCCTTTCAGTCTGTCTCTTTTGCCTCTTGTTTGCATATTTTGGCAAATCCCAAGGCCTGTTTTGACAGATCTGAAAAAAACAGTCAAAAATTCATCAATTCAGAATTGAAATCACAGTGATCAGTAACCTATTGCTCCAGTCAAGCAAACTGTTTGCCTTTTATTATCTATTGTTTTAGAAAAAGGCTCCAGCATTTTAAAGTGCAATTTGATTTTAGCATGGCAGGCTTTGATGATTATAAAACATATTTCAGATACTGAATAAATGGTCTATGCTAATAGCTTAATCGATTAGCTGACTTTCTCTTCAATGCTCTACCCTTTTAACTAATTCCTAGTTTTTAACACATTTGTCAATACAAACTTCCTTATTCCTTGAGCAGAAACTGAAAATGGTATCCAGACTAAAGACAGCAGTTCCCACCTTTCTAGTAACTCTACACAGGATATAATTTGGATTTCAGATTGAAGTGAGGGCAAGATAACAGAAAAGTTTTGTGATTATAAATTAATCCTTTTCCGTTAGGTTTTCAAGTGTTGTATGTGTTCAATTTGTTCTTCCTTTTGCACGTATGTTTTAAAAACAATTAATCCTTTTCCATTAGGTTTTCAAGTGTTGTATGTGTTCTTCCTTTTGCACGTATGTTTTAAAAATCCCTGCCATATTTTCCTTCCAAATGACATAATTACTTCAGGATGTCTTTACTTCTCTCGTTATTTTTGCTGGAAACAGTGAAAATATACTTAAACAGCTCCTTGGCAGCCATATATATATCATACTGACCCAATTTATAGCATCTGCCTTGCAACAGTGTGTACCATCATGTGCCAAACATTCTGTAACTGCAAAATAATAAGAAAATAATAGTGAAGTGTTCCTACCCTTTCATGCTCTCTATTCTGTATCCCACATGTCCCACAGAGCCTACATAATGAAATGTTTTGTTTGATAGGTTGTTGAGTCAGCATGGAGAAACAGAGTCAAACCCATGCTGGAAGTATTCATTGAGCAATGCTCATGGCTCCCCAGGCCAAAGTTTCTGCATCAGCTGTTAAGCATACAGTGCTGTATCTGTTATTAAAGAAAGCTGTTGAAGAGTAGTGATTAACTAAAAAAGTTTAATGGCAGAACAGAATATCCTTCTGCAGACATGAAAAACAAAACAGCAATAGGAATCTAAATGTATAAAATGGTACTTAAATTCTTTGAATTATATTTTGGTTTGAGATATGTATATGTTGCTTTCCTCTGATTTTTAGCACACTGCAATTAAAACTGGGTGGGTTTTTTGACTTCTAAACCTGTATTTGTGAACAGCAAGGGTCCAATTCAATTTGGTATACTCAGATTATTCTGTAGATGGCACTTACATGGCCTTCTAAAGCCTTACTGTGTATTTTGGAACATTAAAATGATAAATAGGCGGAGTAATCACTGAACTTTAAAATTACCTTTTTCTCTTCTTCTTAGCTCCAACTCTGGAAGGTTATTGTAAAATTAATTACTACGTTTCGTTCTGACAGCTGTAGATAGAGTATTTCCTTTTCTTTCTCCTCTGATGCTCTTATACCTTCCCAGAGGGAGGTTGACAACATTTTAGTCTGCAATCTGCAGCAATAGTATTGAAGAACAACACTCTACTGATGTCTGAAAGCTGACTCCTTCATCTTCTCAGCTGTTAGATTTGTTTGTGCCTTTTTTTTTTTTTCTAGTATAGCTTCCTCCTCAATGAGTTTCTGTGATTTTTCCAGTACAAAATGTATTAGCCAGATTCTCAAGATTTTCTTCATTTCCCTAGATATTCTGCAACATGGCTATTTTTGCTGGGACGTGTTAAAAATAATGTTCTATACGGCCTCAAACAGGAAAGATCTAGTTGAAGCCTCAAATTAAGTCTTTGGAGGATATTGCTTGTCCTTATTTTGAATCATACTCTCATTCCGTAATTTATGAGAACCAGCTCTCCAGAAGAAATAGTGAGATGTAAAAACTGTAATAGACAGGAAAAATTCAATAGCAGAAAAAGTCTTTTCAAATGGGCAATCTATGGGGTAGGCGAGCCTAATGATTCCTTAGCCTTCTTATTCAATATATATCTATTTTTCGGAGAGAGATGTCTTCTGGCTCTGAAGCCAGTCCAAGGCTGCCCCTTTTCATAATGATGGTGAGCGCCATCACTTGTGGGCTGTAGAAGCATGGATAGCCAACCTTGCTCTTTGCTCCCCCAGATCTTGCATTCCTTCTTGAAGTGGTGTCTCTGTGAAACAAGAGAGATAAAAGAGCTTTACCCTCTCTGACTTATGAGGGTGTTCAACTGGTGTCACCTTCATCCTGCATCTGATTCCTTGGGCACCGTGCTAAAGGCACATTGCTCCCTCACCAACTCTGACCAAGTTGTTCATACCAGAAGGAATGGATTCAGGCATAGTGCTCAATTTCCCAGATGGCTTCTGTCTGCTTGCCATTTGCGTATGCCTTAAATAAATTATGTTTTCTTTTCAAGCGGTCCTATATACACCATAACTCATACAAACTTATAACTGCTAGACCTACAGTTTCAAATGGGTATATCAGATTCCGTACTATTTTATCTAATAGAAAATGTTTTGCCATCCAAACTGTATGAAAGTTTAGCAACTTAAACAGTCAAATATGACATAAAATGCTTGTATAATCTTAACAGTTTTGGTATCCTGAGTTAGCTGAGTCATAACAGGTGTGGAGAGGTCAGGCTAGTAGGGCCATTAAATCAAAGTTAAATCATCGGGTTTCCCTGAATACGCAGAAAACAACATAACATTTAAAGTCATGGACCTAGGCCTAAATAAATGTACTTTTCTTTTTCTGCATGAGTTGGATCTGCAGCTGACTAGCTTGCCACAGAAGCCAAGATAGGGTGGGAGAAGCTGGCGTTTTGTAGCTCTCCCACCCACACTGCATCTCATCTCTGCCCTAAAACTGTCCTGTCAGAATAGTCTGGCACCTCACACAATCAGAAATAGTAAAGTGAAGAAGGATATATATAATTCATTTTATTTTCAGTGTATTTTTTCCCCATTCTTCTTACTTTGTTTCTATACAGAGCTGTGACTTAGAAGTCCTGGCACTGCATCAGATTGACTGCTTTCATGGCTGTTGCTTTGTGTCTCCTCAGTCTTTGGAGCAATGTAAGTAGATCAGTCAGGAATAAGCGAAAGGAAGTAAATAATAACACTTTTCCACACACAAATACCTGGTCATGTCCATTCAAAGATGCACCATCTGACAACTACTGGGGAAATGGGTTTGTCATTATGTGACAATCAGAACAGGGAAACTAATTTCTGCAGTGCTAAGGACCTGAAGAATTTTGAAACCAGGTTTAATCCATTAAAGCAATTAAGCATTTGAAGCTGTAACAGATGACTGAAACCACCCCTTAAAATCATGGCTTTAAAATCACTGCTTACTAAGTGGAACATTGTATAACTGCTTGGTGAGGATGGATAAAATATGCAGAATGTGTAACATGCATTCTCAAAAATAAAGAGTTAAAAAAACCCACTTTCAGTCAAGTAGAAAAATATTGATTTAGTACTTAATTTGAGAAACTTTCTAATTAGTTAACCCATGGAAATGCTCTGCATTGAGACTAGAGAAATAATATAACACTTCTGAAAATGAACGGAACAAACAAATTGACATGAATATATCCTACAGTATACAGTATTATAAAAAAACTAGCAAAAACTGCTAGAAACATTGAATCATATTCTGCTATAGTTTTGCTTTTGAAGTAGTGAGCACACTTAGCTATTAGTGCCTTTACCTTTAAAGCTGCAGACTCACTGGTCTCATATTACTTCTGCTGTATATCTGTGAGGTTTAAGAGACTGTAAGAAATCCTTGGCTAACATATATCTTTTCATCTATGGTGCATTTCAGTTGCATTTAGAGTTGGTATCAGTCATCAAGGATTTAGACACTGTACAAACAAAAAGCACATTTTTGGATGTATTTCTGTGAATACCTCACTGAGCTGTGAGTTTGTTTACAGAGTTGCTCAGCAGCTTCACTTTCCGTTGACTTCAGTTGCTGGCTCTTTGGGTCCTTAGTTTACAATGGGAGGAGTGGTGGAAAAGAGAGTGTGTACATTATTTCAAGAGCTATACTGCTAGATTTTTGTAATATTTAGATCCATTCAGAACAGGTGCTTCAGCTAATTTAGAAACATTTCACTTAAAAAGACTACTATATTTGCTTAGTGAAAGCAAAGAAAATTATAAGTCTATTAGGATTTTCAAAGCAGCTGAGCCAGTTCTGTGTCCAGCATCCACTGAAATTTATTGGGTTTTGGCTGTCTAATGCCCTTAAATTTTACTGAAAATACCAGCTTTGTGTGTAGCTATGGAAAAACTGAAGTCATTGCTATTAGCCATGCCATCATCTTAACACACAATTAAAATAAAAAAGGCATGCCAAATGCCATAAAATTGCTCAGAAAAGGGGGTATCTCTGCATGCAGGGAGCTTACATGGTTGGGAGTAAGGTAAGAAGAAAAACAGTCAGGTCCTAAGGAAGATGAGAGTATTTTAGCATCATCTGAACCATTTTGCACCAGAATGAAATACAGAAAATTCTGAAAAGTTTGATTTTGAGGAATTAGCCTGTAATAGGACCTATTTTGTAATGATCATCTCTATGAATTTTTGCAACATTACAATTAATTATCATCAGCCACACTGGTACTTTATGACTAAAATCTTTATGACTAAAATCTAATCCCAAAATCCTTAGGGTTGGAAACTACATATTAGAATTGAGCCTTAGAAAGTGATGTGTCTTTACAGCAGAAATTCTGCACTTGTGCTTTCCATCATATACTTAGAGATTTGCAAAAGAAAGGAAGCCTCCTACTTCCCAGACTCATGCTGAATCATCTAGAATCTAAACAAACCTGAAAATTACTCTTAATTTGATACTTTAAACCAAGGCATAGCGGTTTATAGGTTAAGGGTTTTCCTGGGTACATAAGCACAGGGAGACAATCACCTAACCCTGCCATAAAAGACTTATAGAACCCATTACAAACATCTGTCAGGGTAGTTTGGATGAACTGTTGCTCTCTGAAGTACCTGGAGTCCATTCAATCCAGAACATTAATGATTTGGAGTCAATACTTCAGTTAACAGACTTTAAGAAAGAGCTGGCATTAAAGAAACCTCTACCTCCTGACAGGTCTTATACTGATTAGAATGGCGCAGTATCTGTGCTACACTACTCTTAGATACCTAAATGCCTCATGGTCTCTTGATAAAGGCCATTTGGGAATACCATGGTTTTTTTCCAAAAGGAATGTAATCTGCAGGAAAAATAAAGAGCTCAGAGATAACTACTGTGGGTCTGATAATTCCTGACATTTTTCAGATAATTTTTAGGATGATTTCTAGACTGTGAAGGACTGCCTTGGGCATGTTCTTATGGGAACTCATAGTCTGTTTATTGGTGCTAATTTAACTCATGAAACAAGATAACTCTGTTTATTGTGAGAAGGGATTATGATGAGAACTCTTCTGCTGCTGCTTTTAGAAACTATATTGTTTCTTTCTATTCCAGGAATAGGAAGAGGGTATACATCCAATCTTCTTTCTCAAAATTGCTTCCTGAGCCCACAATTCTTCTCATATGGAAGCAAGAGAATACTCCATCACCCATCTGGCACACTAACTCTAACACATCTGCATAGAGAAACACAGTACCCACACACAGAATTCAGAAAAAAAGAAAAAAAAAAAAAAGTTTTTCTTCCAGGTTAACACTACACAGTGTGAACCTGCCCCCAACACTGTGTGTTAATAGATAGTATCTACTCCTATAACATGATTTAACTCTGTAACTGTAATACTACAAGTCATAAATAATTATTTAATACCACAGAATTTTCCCCATGATTCTGCCGCTGCCCCCGTGAAGACTAGTTATGTTTAGGCAAAAAATATAATCACTGCTTTGTGAAGGGAAAACCATATATCCAAACCAGCAATATTTCTAGTGAAAACAGTACGCGCTTTCTTCTAGATTCACTGAAGAAATTACAGAAATTTGTTATGGGCATGAAACATCAACTTTCGCTAGCCCAGCCTGATACAAATATGCTTGGCCCTCTCTGTACCACTCCTAAATATCCATTTTCACTAGGACAATGTTAGCCCATTGCCTAACATTAGCTCCCATAGTCCCTTTTACTCCAGTTAAGACAGACTCTAAATATCTGAGACCAGTGTGAATCACAGAAACTCCGTCCTGCATGAAATCCCCCATGCTAGCTGCCTAGAGTGCAACATGGATACATAACCCCTTCTAGGCTACATGCCAGCACTACCACTAGCCTTGAGCTTAAGATCTCTGGTTCGCCAGAAATGACCGGAAAGAAAAGCCAAGGAGCTATGACTTAGCCTGCATTTGGGACATCTTTTTACACCCGTTCCTAACCTCGTAGCATCAGCCCCTACACTTGTGTCGACCCACAACAATTACTACTTTAAACTCATTAGCTACGACACAATGTTGCTAATTCAAAACTTAATTCGTAGTTCCCTTGTCAAGTGAAATTCTGACCCATAGTTATTATCCTGTATTTATCCATAATACAAGCAGTTACTTTGTCTGTCATGAGACCCAGTTTCAGCACTGGCTCAAATCCACATCCAGTGGCTCTCTGAGTCTTTCGCAATGCTAGTTAGGTCATTGCTCTCTGGAGTCTTTAACCATTGCATTAAACATCAGCTAGAGAGACTGGATCCAGTCAAGAGGTCCTTGTCTGATTTATCTATGTGAAAAGCTTCTCTCTTGCACAGAGTCATAGTTCTGCAGCACTCGACATGTCTGAATCCTAATTTCAACCCAGCAATAAAGTGATTTTCCTCTAATCTGAAATTCTCGGCAACTAAAAGAACCTAATTAGGGTGTTTCTGTTGGCACTAGTTCTTTTTCTGTGAGGGTGAAACATATTTCAATTGTATGTAGTTCAAGCTCCTTAAACACCGCCAGCTAAAACACAATTTTGAACCTAACTGAGCATCCTCTCTGGGAAATTGAACTAATTTTAGGTCCAACACTTTGACACTGTTAAAACTAGGCAAGCAGCTTCATATGGAGGTGCTTATTGCCTCTTGAGAGCATTAAACTTAACCCTAACACTAATCTTAGATTTAACCTTCATCAGAGTCCAGCAACTGCTACCTCTACAGACAGAACAAACTCATTGGGTCCTGAACG